ATGGCTCTGCCCAGTGCTGGCACTGAGGACTAAAGAGTTTGCCAGCTGTGCTCAGACTCGTGCTCGAGGTCCCTCTGCACCCACCTTGATTCCTCGGGATGGCATCCTGACAGATATCCCAGCTGCCCCCGTAACCCTTCTAAACCCATGCCCTCTCCCCCAGGAAAAGAGGGGTGTCCGTCATGTTCAAGGGCCGCTGGGGTCGGAGGGATCTGATAGGGGAGCTACTTCCAGGCTTGCTGGTGGAGCCAGGGGTCCCGGAGGAGGGGCAGGTGCCTGCGTGGTCCAGGGAGCCCTCTGGGAAAGCAGAGCTCCCGACCCCTGAGCGAGATGGGCCAGTGGCATCAGTGGCCGCCCCTCCCGTACCACCTGGCACAGCCGTGCACCTCCGTTTCCTCGTCAGTTAGAGGAGGCGGTAGTGTGCACCTGACACGTCTGTGAGGAGCAGTCACACTTATGGAGGCAGCTGCCTGTGCCGGGTGTTGCGGAGTGCACTAGTATAACGGGAACGAAAGCGTTGCTGTTGTTGAAGGGCCTGGGGCCTGGCTGAGGGCTCAGGGCCTTCGAAGGATTTGGGGCCCAGACGGACACAATCACTTTCAAGTCTCAGAAAGTTGAGTGTGGGCAGGAGGGAGAATGGACGGGAGGAGCGAGGCAGGAGGAGCTGAGGCAGTGGTCCGAGAGCAGCGGGTGGTGGCCGGCTGGGCAGGGGAGGAGGGCGGGGTGAGAAGATGGGAGGATGGGAGTCGGGGGCTGGATGTGCCAGTGAGAGTAGTCCGGGAGTCGGGTGACGAATCCTTCCGGCCTGTGGCGGGTCACTGAGACGTGGCTTCTGAGGGGGCAGGTTCTGCATGGTGATTAGCCACTGCCCCCTAAACCGCAGAGTAGGTCCACCCTCTCCTCAGAGGGTGCCTGTCCATTCTTGGTTCTTCCCATTAGCTCAGTAAGTGTATGAGTCCCCAAGGGTGGAGAGTGTGACACAAAGAAGCCACACTCCACATAATTGTAGGGTGAAGAAGTCCATCTCTCAACCCTTTTAAAGGGAGCCCTTCCTCGTCCCTCCCCCAGCCATAGTCCAGGGAATACAGCAACCCTTCCCTGCCGCTGGGTCCCTACCTGGATGCCTCACCTGCCTGGCATGTGTCCTGGGCCGTCCTGGCATCCATCCGGCCGCAGGGCCCAAGGTAGGACTCAGGGTGGAATGAAGTCAGGCCAGTTTCAAAACCAAGGTCACAGAAGCCACAGTTACAGGGAGCTGGCTGTGCTGGCCCCGCCCAGGGATTGCCCTACAGGATGGGATGGGCCTGCCTGCCTGGCTGGAACAGGACCCTTCCCAGTCACACGGAGACGGCCCCCTCTGTCCTGGCAGGCCTGGGCTCAGAGCCCAGCCTCTTTGGGCGCCGTAGGGTTGGGGCCATGTCCATCTGGTCCGCCATTGCATCCCCAGCGCGTGAGCAGGCCTGGCGCTTCAGCAGCTGTGCAGCCCCCTGAGCCCGTGTGTCCCTGTGAACAGGGTGATGCGCGCCTCCCTTGCAGGACGGTTGTGCCATCACATCACGTTCCACGTGCTGGTCCATCGAGCACTCCTGGTAG